TTGTAAAGAACTTATTCCCCATGGCTACAGAGGTCTATGACTACAACTTGACTTGTAATTGTCTGTATGATAAGGAATGACAATGTTGTTGTTCAGAAAGATAGTTTCACATTAAAAGATTCTGTAGGCCAAAGAGGCTCTGCCTCATGGGCTTTTGAACAAGTGCCAAGGCCTGAAAGGCAATGTACCAGCATCTCTAAGGAAATATACCTTTGTATCAGTCTTTAAGTGTCAGTGTTTTATTTTCTACCCAGCAACATACCACACTGAAGGGCTTCACAGTGAGAAGAGGCAGCATTCCTAAATTCTAAAGTGGGTGGAGATGAGAGAAGTGAGAACTTCATTTCCAACTTGAATCCAACCCCAACTGAGCTGAGACACAGGCAGGTCCAGGTGACCATCTCAACGGCCCCTTATGAGAAGATGAGGTGTTATTTCCAATCAATAAAGCTGAACTTGAAGATGGTCTATTTTCAGATGCCTCTCAGGTTTTCATCTTAATTCTCCAGAAGAGATTGTATTAAAGTGGACTCATCTTCACACTGGATTCTTGCATAGCACCCTTCACAGATAAAAATAAGAAATGGGATTGCTTCCAAGAAGCAGTTTCCCATCTTCAGAAGCTGCCTCTGGACCAGTGAATCTAGCATGGGCCCTTGACTTGGAGACCTGATGATTATTCTGAAACAAACTATCAATACAAGTGAAAGAGGCATAAGATGCAATGAAACTGAACAATGCTCATGTTCCTAGGCCACAAATGGACAGGCTGCTGCAACACTTCCCATGCATGAAATAAATACAAATAAAACCTTTAAAATGCTCTAAAGACACCTAGTAGTTGCTAAATGACCCCTGTGACTCCTCTCTTCTGTCCTCTACCTCCAATAATGACAAGTGAATTCTTAAAGTTGATTGACCATTTGTCACAGTTGTTACTTCAAATAATAATTCTCTCTCTTTCTCCCTCTCTCTCTCTCTCCTTCTCTCTCTCTTTCTCTCTTGCTCCCTCTGTTGAAGTCTGACTTTCAAAATAAATAAATCCTTAAAAACAAATCAAAACAGGAAGATCTGGAAGGAAGGGAAGGGAGAGGGATGACCCCTGTATTTACAAAACTATATTTTGAAAATAAAATAAATAAATAAAAAAGCACAACATAAGAAAAGCAATAAATACATGTGTAGAAACATCACAGAGTACTCCATAATATGCATAATTTTACATGTTAACTAAAGCATTAAAAAAAAAACCCAGTCCCAAATTTTTCTCCCATTTTGTGGAGCTAGAGGCTAGGGAGTCAACATATGGATTTGGAGGGGACACAGTTCAGCCCATAAGACGACTAGATACTACAGAACAGCTGATGTCTCTTGCCACGTATTCTGCCAATATTCCTGTACCTGCATAAATAATGAATTTGGAGGCATCTGTTCTGTTTTCCCTTTTAAACTCAAGATAGCTTCAAAGTAAAAGTCAGCATTTAGTTCACTGCTTGTTATATAAAGGCACTTAGTGAATGCTAACAGATCATGGTAGTGACTGCCTAGAAAACACAGTCTGAACAGACTGGGACCCCAATTTCCTGCTTCTTTACAAACCTACTCTCCCACTGTGCTGCACTGACTCCTGGAAGCCAACCAGTGCCCCACTTGTAAAGAGGGGTCTCAAAGTGCTTTCATTCCAGAGTTTCTGTAGTAGAGATTACAAAGCTCTAAAGTCAGTCATTGCCAACCTTTGCTTTTGTACAATTCTTGGGCTTGTACAGAGACTGCAGCAGATACCAAGCTGCTTTAAACCCTTCTATCAGAAGTCATTTGATTCTTTTTGCTCCTTTTGTTTTTATTGACATTTCACAGAAGTTTTGGAAGTTCAGCTTGGGTTGTTGCAAGGTCAAAGTCAGCATGCCACAACTTAATGAAAAAATTGAAAATTCTTTGCCTTAGTAAACTGCAGGGCTGAGAATAATGGATAGGCTAACATCCCCAACTTGGGCAAAGGCAAGCTGGCACCAGAGATGGTACTTTTTTTCTTCCACTTCTCTAACCAGCTTGCAAGTTGTCACCCATTGAGCCAGAGGGAGATTTCATCTGGCAAGAAGACAAAAATAATTTTGCCTGAAGTATGCAGACAACCTTGCTCCTTAGGTACCTTTAAGCCCACCCCGTGGGCTCTAATACTTCCCTAAGCAGGACTTGACCCTTAAGTGGCTATGAAGTTTCCAGAGAGAGCTCTGTTTGCATAGCCTGGGTCACAGTCTCATTCTTCTTTTAGTGCATTTCTGCCCTAGCAACTGCCACTTAAATACAGCTTTTGGAAGCCACACAATACAGCTAATTGTTTGCATTGGACAGTGGTATGTTTAGAGCTTATGCATCTAAACAGACAATTATTTTCTGCTATTTGTTAGTGGCACTGCCTGCCTGGTGACTTTGGCAGATGGAGAAAGAAGCTAATCCGTAAGTTAGAAGTGGAAGGGTTATTGATGAAATGTCACCATCTGTTGGTGTCATTAAAATGACATGAGTCATAAAGAGTTGCTTTTGTTTTTCTTCAGAAAAGGTTAGCTTAGAGTTTAGAGGTAACTTGCTACTTTGTGAATGGCAGTGGGATATTAGAGTTGGAGTGGGGATGTCAACCCTGAAATCAAAAGGAGCCTTGATTAAATAATCAGCAATTTGATGGATCTACCAGCAACTCAGGTCTTTACTGAACCAACTACCTCTACCATCTGAGATGGGGTATTTACAAGCAACTGTGTAATGTCTCAACTCTCCCATGCCCATTTCTGGGGCATATATCAGGCAGGGGAAAGGGTATTCATTTGCATTAAATAAAAAGATTGTGTCTAGGAGGATATCGTTAAAATTGCACCCGTCTCCTTTCTCCTCATTGGCTTCCTGACACAGAGATTGTTCTTATAACCAACTGACTCCTTGGGAAGCTGGTAAGCCCATGCGGAATGACATTCTCTACATCTGCTACATCTCCTTGGAGGAGGTAGAGATGGAGATGGCTCAGAAAAGGTGCCAGAGGCAGCACACCCAAGATTTCATCAGGAGTGGGAGTGAGCAGAGTCAGAATAGCACATCACATGCACAGCAAATGGTTTGGGAGCATGAAGTATATATTTAATGAAGATTCAACTGTGCCAAGTTCCTATTTCTGCCTTAATACCTACATACTGCCCTTAATTTCCCTAATATTTGTTGTTTCTAAACTCTTATCCACTGTTAATGGATACACATCCAAAGCAGAATAACCTTTTTGCAACTTGTTTCAGTATGGCTTAACATGGTTTTTTGTTTGTTTGTTTGTTTTTGTGTTTTTTTATATTTGTATGATCTTTAATTTTAATTACAGGAGAGCACTTAAATATGGGTGTCTGTATATGAACCACTACAAATCCCCTGGTAGTCCCTAAGAATTGCCAAATCAATAAACTAATACAACTCTGAGTCAGGTCTCACACTCAACCCTGCCCTCTAGCTGAGTCCTTTCCCTCCCTGGCCCGGTGGCCTGAGCCTGTAACTCAAAGACAGAGGTGCTGAAGGGTTTGTGCTCCTGCTTAGAAAGTGTCCAACACTAAAAGCAAAAGCCAACGGGACAGGGGCATGCTGAAACTTGTGCAGGTTATTTCTACGGCCTCAAAAGGAAGCCTTGGTGGAAACGTTCCTGTTAATATTTTTAGATGTGATTCTTGGTCCTGCTGTTGCACTTTCATTTTTAAACAAGCAGAAGGAGTGATTGATGGTGTCTGCAGAGCTGTTTTGGAAGCTCCAAGGCCCATCTGACAGGCTAATGGTCATCCCGCTGGGCCCAGATCTGCCTGCAGTCTCTTCTAGCTCTGGAACTTGGGGCAGCTGCTGACCTCAGCTGCTGGAGAGTAAAACCCCTGACTGTGTGCTGCAGAGTTAGAAATTCAGGAGTTTACGCCCTAGGTCCTGTGCAGAGCCAGTGTCTTGCTTGACCTCTGCCCTCTGTTTCCCTGAGAATTGGAGACATCTACTTGCAGAATAAGCCTTCAGCTGCAAGTTAAATGGCTTAGAATTCAATGATGTGATTAAGAAGGTTCGCCTCACCACCACCACCACCACCCTGCAAATAAAACCATGAGCTTCTCTTGTCCAGGTTTAGCAGGAGGGAGTTAAGCTGTTGGGATTATTACTGAATAGTTGCTCTGGTTCCTTTTCATTTGCCTCGTAAAAAATCTGTGCTCAAAGGGCAAAAAAAAACCAGTTTTCATTTTGTCAGTGTTCTCCTGAGACAGAATGTTGCCCTCTGGAAGAAAGGGAGGAGGGATAAAAGACGACAGTGTTTTGCTTTGTGGCTGCAGAGTCTCACAGAAGCTCATGAATAGTAGCAGCAGCCCACTGCAGTACAATGAGCTTCTGGTAGAAGTGAGAAGCTGAAGGATAACCAGTGAGAGAAAACAGGGTTGGGTGCTATGGAGCAGAGTTTAAGTTGAGTGCCTGGTTGGTGTCTTGGCTACTTTGCTTCCACTGCAGCTTCCACTAATTCACATCCTGGGAGAGAGCAGATATTGGCTCAAGTAGTTGAGTCCCTGTTCCTCACAGAAGAGACCAAGATTCAGGTCTGAGCTCATAACTTTGGCCTGGCACAAGCATTTGGGTAGTGAATCACAAATGGAAAATCTCTCTCTCCACGTATGTTGCCCTGTACCTCTGCCTTTCAAATAAAATATAAATAATTAACTAAATTGTTCATGAAAAAATAAAGCTCTCAGATTCCAGCACTTATCCTTTGCATTCAGCTTGGTGGCGGTTGTCTATTACAGAGGGAGCCAGGAGACGCCTCCAGGATGGCAGGTGGGTGGTGGTCTGCTACAGAAGGAGCCGTGAGAGGCCGCCGGGGTGCTTGGAAGACTCCTGATGAGGCCTGCAGCTTCCCTCCCTGGCGTGGTGTCGGTGCTGCTGCATCCTGCCCACATCATCCTCCCGTGTGTTAACTTCTCCTGTCTCTCCCCATGCAGGCCACAGAGACTGCTGACGAGGAGGAGGACCAGCCTCTCAGCCTGGCCTGGCCTCCCAATCCTCGCAAGCAGGTCACGTTCCTGATTGTACTCCCCATCGTGTTTCCTCTCTGGATCACCTTGCCTGATGTTCGCAAAGCTGTGAGTAAAGAATTTTGAAATAGGTTCCTTGTAAAAAAGAAAAAAAGAAAAAAAAATCAGGGTACATTAAATAGTATGTATAGCCTGTTCCGTTGTGCTTGAAGGGAATATGGAGGACACATAAATACATATGTAACCTTTTGTTTGCCTAAAAGTTTCTCTGGGCACACAATCCTAGTGATAATCTGGGTTATCAAGTCTGCATAACAAGCTGGTATAAAATATCCACCATTTCATTCATTTATGGTTGTGTTGTGGATCAAAAACTGGAATCAGACACACTGAGAATGGCTTTTCTGGCTCCACTGTATCTTGGGCCTCCTCTGGGAAGACATCAGTGATTGGGAAATAGAAACATTTGGATATTTTTTCACTGATCTGTGTGGCACCTGAGCAAGGATGACTTGAAGGTTGGGCTCAGCTGGGACTGGGTACTGGAGTGGCCAAATGCAGCCTGTTCACACGCCTGGGCTTCCCGCAGCATGGTCGTCTCAGGATAAATAAATGGCTTACACCAGAGGTCAGAATTCAAAAGTGCCTCATCAATGAAAGAGAGATGCTGTAGGGCCTTCAAGATCTAGATGTAAAAAGTCAATGTGACTTTTACTATACTATAGAAGCCAAAGTAGTCACCAGCCTGACTTGATTAAAGAAGAGACAAATTTTACCGAGACTACATCAGTGTCATGTGGCATCTGCTCTCTTGATGGTAAGAATTTTCAGCCCTATTTTAAAGCCACCACAGTGATTGCCTCTGCAAGGGCAGCTGAAGGACAAAGGCAGGAAGGTGACTGGCTGTATTTTGAATTTTCTTGTGGCTGTGTACATAAGGTATTCATTTACTTCAAAAAGTTGGGAATCGCAGTTGGGTGGTTCAGACGCCATCTGCTTGATTTTTTTCCCTCATGTATAATTATCCCTATTATAAATAATATTTTAACTACTATTATTAGTGATTGTCTACTATTAAAGCGTGTGAATGAAATATTGTCCTAATATCAGCAAAGCACAGACTGAATGTAAACCTAAAAGCATCCACCAAGACAAACCGGTTCTCAGCCCATTGCCCCAGAGTGAAAAAAGTAATGGGAGAGAAAAAATAATTGATTATGGCACTGCACACACATATGCCTTCTACAAAAGCATGTACATATTTATTATGAATCAGAACAGATATTTTCAATAACTTATACTGTAACAACTCAGAAAGCATTTGGGGTAGGAACATATGTATCTATTATTAACACAAATAAAAACTTAGACATAAACAACTTACACCTGGCCCTTTTCTACAGGACAGAGGTTGATTCAGCCTCAGATCTGTGTGACACATGGCTTGGGCTTCTCCTCACATTTCGTAATGCCAGAAGGAGAAGCCCAAGGGGAAAAAGTCATTTATAAAAGCCTTTGGGATAGAATACTGTGAGCACAAACAGCATAAATCTGCAAGGACTCCCCTTGATGATACCATTTTCCTCAATCAAAAAGAATAAAAATCCTATCCCATTTAACCAAGCTGTAATATTAATGCATCCTGGAGGAGGACTAGGGCTGATCAAATGGACAACAGGAAAGGATCTCCTGGTATAAGGATTTACAACATCAGAGGTTTCCTGAAAAAGGAGGCCTGTAACAGATGTGGCTCACTTAAAGCAACACTGAGATTGCTTTATTCCAGATACAACTGCACAGCATCTGCTTTACACAAAGTTCTCGCCTGCTGAAAACCCACAATCAAATAGCAAAGTCTGTTTGACTTTGTTCCTGGCTCACCTCATACTGATAACTCCCAAATGGTGTGTATCTCTGCCTCCCTGCATTGTTCAGCTGTTTAGACTATTGCTTGTGTTACATACAGTAAGAAAAATGGAAGGAGGAAAATATGTTTTTTCTGAATTCCTGCAGAAGGCCTAGAGTGGTATGGCCCGAAGCAGGCGTGTTGCCAGGCTGACAAGGTGAGGTTGACACACAGATGGTAAAGCAGCCAGGAAAATGTGCAAGAGGGAAAGGAAGAGGCCAGTAGCTCGAGACCCTGGGCTCTTGCATTTGGACATGACTCTTAACAGCAAGGGGTGGCAAAGTGCTCATCCTTTCTTAAAACTAAAAGGTCAACAAAGGTGTTAGACAAAAAAAATCAAAGGTCCTTCCCACCCAGCAACTCCTGAAACACAGACAGCAATCAGCCAAGGCAGCAGCTCCCTGAATCATGACAACGTCTTCAACTGATGCTGCAATCCTAAGAGCACAGTCTTGAAAGCGAGACACAGTACTCTGGTACACTGCTATCAACCTCTCACTGACTGAGCAGCCCGCCCCTGTGGGACAGCCCCTGCAACATTGGTTAAGTTCTTCTGCTTTTATGCTTTACTACAGGGAGATCTGAGTATATGTAGTGATTACTTGCAGAATTTTTAGATAAATACATTAAGTTTTTTTCCTAAGTACACTGTGTGTTTTCCAAGCATGAAGAACTCTGTTTCAGCTTTTTGGGCAAATATTTACTATGCATGCATTTGATGACTATACATATTGAGTCTGTGTCTTTAACGATATAAAGAAACATAATCTATCACTTATATCTTTAATGAGCCCTAAATTAATTAATGAAAAAGGAATGTCCACATTTAGCTATAGAGAAAATTGTGCAGTTGTATAGTAAGAAAAGCTGGGCTTGAACCTGAGCCTCCCAGGCTCCAGATCATTTTCATTCTACTATACTGACAACAGTGTGTTTTTCCCAAAACCTTACAACTGAGAAGCCTTGGAAACAGCACTTCTCAATTCTGGGCCCCTAATTTTCTCTGCTGTAAATAAATGATTGGAAAGTTTCTAAACTTTCTGCAAATCATGACATTCTGTGATTCAGGACAACACATAACATCGTGATATTGAAAATTTGAAGTGGTCATAAATCCCATTTTCCCCAAGATAATTCCTGTTTGCTTTCAAAGCATGTTGAGTTGGGAAATAAATTGTATTGGTACCCTCTGCATAGATCGCGTCAAGTGAAAAAAGCCATCCCAGTTGATAAGAAAACCATTAAGACACTCCTTGGTCATGCTTGGTATAGAAGGACTTCACTGTATTTTATTTTGCATCAATTATCTTTTATATGTAAAATGCCACTCCAACCTTAGAGTATTTTTAAAAAGCAATGTTAGCCAGCAATTCTATGAAATGGCATTTTGGACTTTGCTCAAGTGAGTAGTTCTTTTGCTGGTCTCGGTGAGCATCAGTCATGTAACTAAAAACTGATTGGAATAGGAATATCTCGGCTGGACTAGCTTGTCTCTGCTCCACATCATCTCTTACACATGCTGACTGCAACTTTTCACATGATGGCAAACTGCAAAGACCAATGAAAATGAAAGCTACCAAGCCTTCTTGAAATTTGCATGCTGTCACTTCTATCCCATTCTATGGTCAAAGCAACTCATAAGGTCAGCCTAAATTCAAAGAAAGGGGAAATAAACTTGTTGATGGAAGGACCAATAAAGTACCATGGACATTTTTGCAGCCTTACCATACACACTACATGCCTCCACAAAAGCTTCTTGAGAAAATATTGAGGGAGATCAGAGAAGAGAAAATGGTGAACCAGTAGATACTTGCTACTCTTTAACGCCTGGTAGCTCTGCCTCTTCAGTAGGTTTTGAATCACCCATGAAGTGAGCACTCCAGATTTCAACACCTAGAGGCAAATATCATTTTTTTACTGTATAATACTAGTTTCAGAGTAAATCATGATTTTTAACAGTATACTACTAGTTTCAAATTGTATGGCACTTTCATTTGTTTTTGCTTCCACTTCATTTACATATAAATTATGACAGTGTTCATGCATACATTCAGCTCTGATCCATATCTTATAACTTTCTTAAAATACTAGCTTTGTTTAAAAAGTGGTAAAATGTAAGCTTCAGTGACAATCATGTATTTGATGTGATTTAAAATAATAAATGAAATAAAGATCCAGAACTTTTTTCCTCTCATGACCCAAGATAAACATTTTTACCAAATAGGAATGCATCTAATGAGATACTAAAACATAACCATTAGAACCTGAAATATGTCTGAGAACTCAGGTGGATACTTTGAATTTCTATCATTCACAAAGTTATAACTATTTAGCAAGTGTCTACAGTATGGTATGCACAATTCTAGCAAGGGAAAAGTAGTCATTAAGTAAAAGATGTTGATATTCTCCCCCATTTTGATGATTAATAAGTCAGAGATCAAATAATTCATCCAGGGGAAAACTGTTGACCATTTTTTTAATGTCTCTCTTTTTTTAAAGATTTATTTTTATTTTTATTGCAAAGTCAGATATACAGAGAGGAGGAGAAGCAGAGAGGAAGATTTTCCATCCATGCTTCACTCCCCAAGTGATCGCAATGGCCAGTGCTACACTGATCCAAAACCAAGAGCCAGGAGCTTCCTCAAGGTCTCCCTCGCGGGTATAGGGTTCCAAGGCTTTGGCCCATCGTCAACTGCTTTCCCAGGCCTCAAGCAGGGAGCTGGATCGGAAGTGAGGCCACTGGGATTAGAACCGGTTCCCATATGGGATCCTGGCACGTGGAAGGCGAGAATTTTAGCCACTAGGCCACTGCGCCGGGCCCAAATGTTGGTCATTTGTAATCAGACTCGAATGGTAGTCATGTTAACACAGTTTACATTTATATTTAACGGGTGTGTTTCTGGAAACTTTGATAATTATGTATATCCCAAGAAACTTTCACAGTGTAAGTAATGTGTAAACTATATTTTAATTTGTGAAATTAGATAACATCTACTAACTTTTCTCAAACCAAGTCAGCATCATTCTGATGTTCTAAAAGCTTCTAATGAAAACATTAGCTGTCAATTAATTTCACTGAGAACAAAATAGCCAGCACATGGACACAATTCAGCTTATTTTCTAATGAACGTGAGGCATGTCCCAACAGATGTCAGGATGAGCCACCATTGTTAGCTATAAATTGACATAGCAGACCTTGGTTTAAGCTATTTTCTTCCTTCCAAAGAGGATGACAACTAAATAATTTTACAGAAACAACAGGACAGTGATATTTAGAATGAGTCTATAGCATCCAAATAAGGGGAACAGTCCAGAAAATAAGAAGATAAGAAGGAATTGCCCAGGTGATGAGATTGGAAATGGTAAGGCATTTCGACAAAGAAACACTTAACTGAATGACTGATACATGACGAGACGACACTCCTCAAGCAGAAACAATATGGGAGATTGGATGAGGCAGATGGCCATACAGCTGGGAATCCTAGTCTCTATTTCTGATGCTTTTTTTATTTTCTGACATTCAGAACAGAGCTTAGTATTATGATGATCATCATTATGTCCGTGTGCACATATTTTGAGCATTACTGGCCTTGTTTTTCTTCAGAGTCATATAACCTCAATGTTAGGAATATGTGCCATGCAGACAGGCAAACCTGGGTTTGAATTTTATCTGTAGTTCAAGATCTAAGCACAAAATAGTGGCCAGGTTTTATCTATCTATCTATCTATACTGAAAATTCACAAAGAAAAAATATTTTTACCAAATTTTTTCAGTGACATCCCCATGCAATATTAGGTACATCTTGATGACCATTAATTTGTAATTAGCTTCTTGGTTAAGAATCATGAATCTCAAATATTGAATTATAGAGCCTTTTTCATTAATATTTTCATTCAGTTTAGTTTCTTTCAATTCTTCATCTGAGATCTGCTTCCTACCTTTTGCTGGGAACATTCTATAGCTCAGTGATGATACTGTTCAGATGAGAAATACATTAAAATTATTTTTTGTGACATGTGAAGACATTTCAAAAACACATGCAAAGATATAAAAGTAAATACAATTACACACTTAGTGGATGAGCTAGAAATATGAAATGAGGATGCTCCTAGGATATCCAGCACACATACCACGCACAAATTTTAGAATCAAGAACTGGTTGCTGTCCATCTTCCATGTGGCCCCACATGGCAAGAGAAGCACTGCTCTTCCCTATACCAGGACATGTCTATGAGACATGAAACCATCTTCATACTTAGGATCCTCTTACAGTGACATGTCTGGAGGAAAAAACGGAAACTTTAATCAGTCAAATGTCTTGCCTGAGAAAACTTGATCTGCTAGAACTGGCTTGGGAAATTTGACCTCCAGAATTCAGCTGAACTCATAGCTTCAAAGAAATTTGCTTTCAGAAGGTTTCTATCTCCACTTTGAAAAACAATACCCTTTTCTTGCTATTACCTATTAAAATGCTGAGGCCACTTAGAGGGATCTCAGTCCTTGTTCAAAGTGTTTTCCTTGTTAAAAAGTAAAAGGAGGAGGAGTGTGGAAATATTTGAGAATATGGTTTTGGCCATGAACTGTGTCCTGATGCCCTCTTCCAATCTAATAAGCCTGCTTGTACTTCCAGACATTCCAACGAATGATTGGTCCCAAAACCAGCCATCATTTAAAAAGAAGAATGATTAGGTTTTTGTAATGTTTAAGAATCACATGAACTATACTAAAAATATTTATAGAAAACAGCAAAGGGAAAATAGATTATTTCATAGCAATAGAGACTATGTTCACTTAACAATAGATTTTCAAAATATTACTGTGAATAACTTTATCTTCTCCTTTTAATGAAACCCTCAAAAGCATGGCACAAACTGTTCTGCATGACTGCCCAAGGTCAACCTTTCAGACAATATAGATTGCTTTTATCCAAATCAACTCTAGGATTAATTTATCCAGACAAAATTGGATGCCATTATCAAAGAAAAAAAGGAGAGAATGTTCCTCAATATGGAAAGCTTTTGAAATAAAGTGTTTGGCAATTATAGGTAAGAAGCTCTCTGCTAGCATTTTTCCATGTGAGCCTGTTTTAAAGGACTCCCAATTTTCCACAAAAGCTGTCAACAGAACACCGCTCCAGTGCAACCCTAGAGTTCCCTGTAGTGGGCTCGAGCAAAAAACATTGCATTTAGAAAATCTGGTTTTTGACTGATGTTTCCAGGAAACTGAAAGTATACACACTATAAGCATAATATTGTATAAAGTCCAGTACCTGGAGAAGCACTGGACATAACACAATTTGAGGTGGAGAACAGGATGAAAACAAATCACAAAGAACAATGTATGGCTTTCCCTCTGAGTGGCAAAGAGCATATTTGGTATCTCTGCCTAAGTCAACTCCAGTTGCATAAATGGTTCAAATGTCCTGGAGATTGCCCATCATCAGGAATCTCTAGAAGCCTCCATGGTGGCTTTCCTGATAAACCAGTCTTTTCAAAAATAATCCTTCCCACCCCAACCATGAATAGACTAAGTCAGCCAGTGGAGTCTGAATAGGCTTCATCACGATTGGAATGGCGAGACTGGCAGCAATTCAGACCTGTTGAACTATCAAAACTGCTTGAGCAGGACCCTCGAAGCATGCCTCACATCGGGGACCTGGGATGGGTGGGAGGCTGGGTGGGGCTTTTCCCTTTGTTTCTCCCCTAAACCCAGATACACGGGAAAAAATGATAATATTAGTGTGGAAACAATGGTATTACCCACTTTCCTGTAGCCCTTGACCCTTTGTACCCTAATCAACTAGGTAAGATTATTAAAAATAATAATAATAATAATCCTTCCCATTTCTGTTCAATGTAATTACTAACATAGGTTTTTGGCATATGATTATGAAGACACATGGTTTGCAAGCAGCAGAAACTGGTTCTGATGAAGTTGTAAGCAAAAGGAAGTGAGGGTGGATGAAGGAAGGAAGAGAGGAAAAAGAAGGAAGAAGAATATAGAGTAGTTAATAGATCATAAGAAAGATAGAAATCCAGGTAGCCTAGCATGGTAGCCTAATAGCTAAAGTCTTCGCCTTGCATGTGCCAGAACACCATATGGGCGCTGGTTCATGTCTCAGCTGCTATACCAGTTCCCATCCAGCTCCCTGCTTGTGCCTGGGAAAGCAGTAGAGGATGGCTCAAAACCATGGAACCCTACACCCACATGGAAGACCCAGAAGAATCTCCTGGCTCCTGAGTTCAGATCAGCTCAGCTCTGGCTGTTGTGGCCACTTTGGGAATGAACCAGTAGACAGAAGATCTTCCTCTCTGTAAAATATGACTTTCCAATAGAAACAAATGCTTAAAAGAAGGAGGAAAAGGAGAAGAAGGGAAAGAAGAAAAGAAGAAGAAGGAGGAGAATGAGGAGAAGAAGGAAACAAGGAAGGAAGGAAGGAAGGAAGGAAGGAAGGAAGGAAGAAAGAAAGAAAGAAAGAAAGAAAGAAAGAAAGAAAGAAAGAAAGAAAGAAAGAAAGAAAGAAAGAAAGGAAGGAAGAAAGAAAGAAAGGAAGGAAGGAAGGAAGGAAGGAAGGAAGGAAGGAAGGAAGGAAGGAAGGAAGGAAGGAAGGAAGAAGAAAGAAAGAAAGAAAGAAAGAAAGAAAGAAAGAAAGAAAGAAAGAAAGAAAGAAAGAAAGAAAGAAAGAAAGAAAGAAAGAAAGGGAAAGAAACAGAAGATGGAGGCGAAAAAGGAAGAAAGGAAAGGAGAGAAATGAAGCTCTCTTTAGGAAATTCCATTCCAGGAGCTGGCATAGTGGCATAGCTGGCAAAGCTTCCACCTGCAACACCAGCATCGCATATGAATATAAGTTCAAATCTCAGCTGTCCCATTTCCAACCCAACTCCTTGCTACTGCATCTAGGAAGACGACCAAGTCCTTAGGCACTAACCCCAGGGTGGGAAATCTGGAAAAAGCTTCTGTCTCCTGCATTTCCTTTTGCCCAGCCCTGACTATTGAGGCCATTTGGGAGAAGAACAAACAGATAAAACATCTCCATGTCTCTCCCTCAGTATATGTAATTCTGCCTTTTAAATCAATGGATTTTTATGAAAAAGTTCCATCCCTGAAACTGGCCATGTAAATATTCAGCTCCAACTAAATTCACCTTTCCAAAAGAGAATTTTATTGTTCTAGTTTATCAGGGTAGGTATGACCTGTTGCTTGTTAATCCTCTGAAGATTTAAGAAATGGAGAGAGAGAGAGCCCAGCACAGTAGCCTAGTGGGAGCAGTCCTCACCTTGAATGCATCAGGATCCCATATGGGCACTGGTTCTAATCCCAGCAGCTCTACTTCCCATCCAGCTCTTTGCTTGTGGCCTGGGAAAGCAGCCAAGGATGGCCCAAAGCCTTGGGTCCCTGCACCTGGCTGGGAGACCCAGAAGAGACTCTGGGCTCCTGGCTTAGGATCAGAACAGCTCTGGTCGTTGAGGCCACTTGGGGAGTGAATCAATGAGAGAAAGATCTTTCTCTCTGCGTCTCCTTTTCTCTATATCTGACTTTTCAATTAAAAAATAGAAAGAAATTAGAGGGCTGCATTTGGCAGTGTTAGTTTTGAACTGTCAGACTTATGTCAATTAGTGACATTGACACTTGCCTCTTCCTTCTTGTTTTTCAGTCATCAAGGAAGTTTTTTCCCATCACCTTCTTTGGCTCCATCACCTGGATTGCAGTATTTTCTTATTTAATGGTCTGGTGGGCACACCAGGTAAGACTTTCATAGTGACTGCCTGATTTTACCTGGTCTTATTATTTATCAGCTGGCTAATCAATATGTTTGCTTTCCGAAACTGTCCCAACAATATTGGATGTGACACAGGCAAGTTACACTTTGTGAGAATAAAGGAACTTAATTATTTAACATTTTGTGGTCTCCTAGCCTTGCCAAATCAGGATAGCCCTTGGACAGCTGTAAGGAAGAAAGGGAAACTAGTGGCTGCTTGCCCTCAGCCAGCCCAGCACTGGGAGGAGTTTCTGGCTCTTGATGTGTGGTGGAAGTTACTTTTCTCATGAACAATCATCACCTCATGCTCTCCCCAGTGTTTCAAAGCTGGCCCTTAGAAAAGGGGCTGGAGATACGATCACCTCTTTAATGAGTTCTAGCTTAGAAAAATTATGTTTCATTTTTACCATTCTTCACTGAATAGCAGTCACAATGCTTGTTACAAGTATGCATGCTCATTCATCTTTATTGAAAAACACGAGTGACAAAATTCAATATAAAGGCCTCTCTCTCTAACACTAGTAACCATTCTCAGGTTAGTGCTATACTACGTTCTGGTCAATTCATGTTGTCTTGTCTTTATAATCTCAACAGTGGTCCTTGCAGACAGGTTCCAATTCAATGAAAGGGGTGCCATTCTTATCAACACTTGACAGGTAAAGGAGTTAAACTGATTAAAAAAAAAATTACTCAAGATCACATAGGTAGTGAAGTAAGATTCTTACCCAGAACTCTACAATCCCAAAACACATGCTTTTAATCTCCATTCTAGACCACACTAATTCCAAGATATCTACTTGTATCCTTTATTTAATATAGACCTCAAATTATTATACTTTTAATATAAATAAGACATAGAAAATTAAATAACATAAAAAGCATATGTGGGTAGACTTTTAATAAACTGTGCTAGAAAAAAATCTGATTTGCACCTGCCAAAATAAATTTATTTAGATACTTCATACTGTACTTAAAGTTAACTCAAAGCAAATAACAGTTTGAAATGTAAGAGGTAGAGCTAACAACATTATAGAGGAAAACATAGGAAAAAATCTATATGAATATGATCCAGGAAGGGTTTTTCTTTTGTTTATTAGCAAAGGACAAACCATAAGAAAATTCTGTACACTACACATCAACATTAAAATACTTGCCCTTATAAATGAAAAGGAAAGCCAGAGCCTGGGAGAAAACATTTTCAAATAATATTTATCTGATAAGGCACTTATATCCAGAATATAAGTTCTTTTTTTATTATTAATTGTACTGCATTATGTGACACAGTGTTATGGGCACTGGGATTCCCCCCACCCCTCCCCGAACCCTCTCCCCATGGTGGATTTCTCCACCTTGTTGCATTACCACAGCAGAATATAAGTTCTTAAAGTTCTTTAGTAGAAGTGTAACATCCTTGAATATCCTAGTATTTATTATCAGAATAGATTTTCCCAAAGAATATATGAAAATAGATGATAAACAAAATATGCTCAATATTTTAATTAATTATTTTAATTCATTAAAAAGTTTATAAAATAAAAGCAAAAGAAGATATCACTTACATCCACTAAAATTAGTGTAATCGGAAAGACAGAAACTAAGAAATGTTGCTGACAATGTATAGGAATCATAACCTTGGTATATACTACTGGTAGGAATATAAAATAGTGAAGCAATTTCAGGAAAGAGTTTGGGAATTCTGCAAATCTTACACACAAAGTTACATTTTGATCCAGCAGTTCAGCTTCTAAGAGTGCACATAAGAGAAATGAAACTTATGTTCAAAGGAGCCTGTACTAAGACATTCATAGTAGCAAAATTTGCTAAAAGTCTAAACAATCGAAATGTCCATCAGGTGATCAATGAATAAGCAAAATCGGGTATATTCACACAATAGAATATTATTCCACAATGAAAAAAAATGAAATATTACCATATTCTACCATGAATGAAACTCTAAAATATTATGTTTAGCAAAAAGCCAATCAAAAAGGCCATATTCCACAGGATTCCATTTTAGGAAATATCCAGAACAGGATAATTAGTGGAAACATAAAATGGATTTAGAGTTGTCTAGCATTGGTAAGGTTGGATGAAAATGGGCAAAGATAACTAATTGGTTTGGGTTTCTTCTGTTGAATGATGAACTTCAAAACCTACATTATGATGATAGCTGAACAGCTCTATTAATATTAAAACCCATTAAATCAGGTCTGGTGTTTCAGGGCAGTGGATTAAACTACCACCTGTGATGCTGACTTCTTGTACTGGGGGTGCCAGTTTGGATCTCAGCAGCTCTGTTTCAAATCTAGCTATTTGCTATTTGCTATTATGCCTGGGAAAGCAACAGATCATGGCCCAAGTGCTTGAGACACTGCCTCCCACTGAGAGTCCCAGAAAGAGATCTGTGTTCTGGCTCTCAGCCTGAACCAATCCCAGCTATTGTGGCAATTTAGGGGATGAACCAGAAAATGGGGGATCTCTCTCTCCCTCTCTGTCACTCTGCCTTTCAAATAAATATTTTAAAAATACCATCTCATTATACAAATGTATATCACATAGGTTAAATTTCATGATACTTGAATTGTATCTCAATGGACTTATTTTAAAATAACCATGTTTGGATATTCCAGCCATAGATAAATGTATCCTTGCCAACTAGAGCATTCTTGAGGTGTTTTACTTTTCATCTTCATGTAATTTTGGTTACAATCTCATGTTTGCCATTATCTATAAATTTATTTCTGGCATTGTAAATTCCAGGAACACCAATAAACCACAGCATTTTGTTATAAAAAATATATAATAATAACCATGGGGCTGGCATGATGATGTAGCCGACTAATCCTCCACCTAGAGTGCTGGCATCCCATGTGGGCACCAGTTCATGTTCCAGCTGCTCTTTGTTTATGGCCTGGGAAAACAGTCTAGGACAGCCCAGATCCTTGGGTCTTTGCAACCACATGAGAGATCCCTGGGTTCTAGCTTCAGATCAACTCAGCTCTGGCCATAGCAGCTATTTGGGAAATAAATCAGCATATATAATTTCTTTCTCTCTTTTCTCTCTCTCTCTCTCTTTAAATCTGCCTTTCAAATAAAAATAAATCTATCTTTAAAAATAATAATCACAATACTACTTCACAGTCACAAGGTTCACTAAAAAGAAAGTAACAAACAATATCATCTGTTGAAGTGGATAAACAAAAACATGACTGCTTACAATGATGAAAAATTACAGAACTGTGCATATTTCTAAAGTGTGGGTAATTATTTCTACATGTAAATTAAATTTAGTTTTTTACCAAAGAGAGAGAGAGAATATATAGCTTAGCTTCTATTGAGAAATGTTGACTGATATACCCAGAATCCTTCCTACAAGATATTTCATACTATTTCTGTGTTAGATATTTTACTGACATTGGACTTCAGATAAGTCTTCCTGGATATTTCCAAAACTTGTCGGGCCCCTGAGAAAGTTCTCATTGCCTTGGTATCATGAGTTTCGACATTTATCCAGAGGAATTTGCTGCCAACGCCTGGCAGAAATCACGTCAGGGAGCGGGCTACTTTGGAGCCTCCAGATCTGCAGACTGAAAGGATTGTTTATGATATAATGGCTTTTCAAATAATCAACTTTTATTCTTTTACATATTCTTTTGGCCTAACAAAAAGGTAAAACCATCAAGGAACATAGTTTACTCAAATAGTGTATTCCTGTACAAAACCCTCATTTACCTTTTTTTTTTTTCATGAAAATAAGTAGAAAAACAAGCTACTGGAGTGATCTGTTTATTTGATAGGTTTTTAAAGATTTATTTACTTTTATTGGAAAGACAAATTTACAGAGGAGCTACAGAAACAGAAAGATCCTCCAGCCTCTGGTTCACTCCCCAAATGACCCCAATGGCCAGAGCTAAGCCAATCCAAATCATCCTCTGGGTCTGCCATGCAGGTGCAGGGTCCCAAGGCTTTGAGCCAGCCTCTACTGCTTCCCCAGGTCACAAGCAGAGAGCTGAATGCAAAGTGGAACAGCTCTGACATGAACCAGCACCCGTGTGGAATGGCAGCACTTGCAAACAGAGTATTAACCGGTTGAGCCATCATGTGTGCTTCGGCAAATAGATTTGGAGGGATCACTATGTACCAGGCTATGTTCCACAAATTCAAGACACCATACTGATCAGAGCAAGGGTCAGTCTTGTATCACGCTTACTTTCAAATGGAGAGCAATGGATTTGCATACTAAGGCAGGCGAAAAATGAAATCAGTCCACCAAGTTCTGAAACAGGCATGAAGAAAAACTGCCCCCAACCATACTTTAAAACTAGTAGGAATCAAGCCATCCCTTATCAGTCTCAGTCCCATCTCTACTTCCAGTCTACCTTCCTGATGGTGCATCTGGGAAGCAGCAGATACTCGCCACCCAAACAGGGTTCCTGAAAGGAGTTCCTAGCTCCTGGACCCAGGCCCAACTTTGGCCATTGCAAACATTTGGGAAGTGAAGCAGAAAATAGAAGATTCTCTCCACACTCCACTTCTATCTCCCTTTAAAGCTTTTTCTTTAAATCTTAGTTTAATTAAATTTATACTGTTTCCTTAAAATCTTTATCCTTTATACTATTGTGGACTTTTAACATTTTTTGTTGCGGGGGAAGAGAGGGTGGGAAATACGGGACATATTCTGGTATGCTGTTGGAAATTAGATGGAAAGCATTATCTCAAAAGTTTTCACAACTTTGGATTCACATCTCCAGAAAATACTTCTAAAAATTAAACTTTTAAAAATCCCAAGAAAGCAAAAAGTTAAAGGATGAATCTTCCCTAGGACTTAATGCCACTTATCAGGCGCTCATTCCTCTGCAGCTTCCCTGGCTCAGTCATAGAAAACAATCATATAGAGGCTTCACTCTATCCCCACTTCGCCCTTTTGTATTTAAGATTATCTGCTTGGGAGAGTCCCATCCTGCCTTGGGCACCACAGCTGTGCCCAGGTTAAGGGAATAGGGGGGTCTATGCCAGAAGGCCTGGTGGGTATCCAGGTCCCAGGACCTTCCCTGGAAGGAAGACCTCCACCTTGAGGGGGAGGAAGCTACTCCTGCTGAGGCTTGTTCCTGGAAGTCCCTCTTGGATTCTTGCTGTCAGTCCTGGTCCCCCAGGAGAGGGAGGGACTGTCAGGCAAGCAGCATGCAGTATCTTTGCTTTAGAGTCAGAGTCTGACGGGCTCCGTAGCTTTGTGGTTTGCTCAGGGTTCCTGGTGTATAATGGCTCAATGACTAAATCTTCACCTTGAGCAAGCTCCAGGATCCCATATGCCTAACAGTTTGTGTTTTGATGTTCCTCTTTCCATCCAGCTCTCTGTTCGTGGCCTGGGAAAGCAGTGGAAGATGGCTTATAAAGCTTCCCTACTGTTGTGCCAGGGAAAAACAGCAGAAAATGGTCTAAGTCTTTGGACCCCTGCTCCCACAGGGGAGACCCAGAGGAAGCTCCTGGCTGGCCCAAATTTGCTAGTTGACTGTTTAGGGAGTAAAGTAGTGGATGGAAGAGCTCTCTCTCTCTCTCTCTCTCTCTCTCTCTCTCTCTCTCATTCTCCCACTCTCCCTCTCTTTCCTTGCCACTGTGCCTTTCAAATAAATAAATCTGTTAGCGAGCAAAAAAAAAGATTATCTGCTTGGTCCTCATGTAGATGTTAGATGTTAGATGTCTGATCACTAAAGCATAACTTCGTCCATAGCAGTGATTGTAGCTTATTCATCTTTATGCTGTCACCGCTCCCTATAGCAAAGCCCAGAAGCTCTGAGAGAAGGTTGAATTCAAATATTTGTGGTTTAAGTGGTTTTAAATTTCCGATACTCATACTGGTCCCTGTGATGACGTTTAGGTTGGTGAAACCATCGGCATCAGTGAAGAGATCATGGGTTTGACGATCTTGGCCGCTGGGACCTCCATCCCTGATCTCATTACCAGTGTCATCGTGGCCCGGAAGGGGCTCGGGGACATGGCCGTTTCCAGTTCCGTTGGAAGCAACATTTTTGACATCACTGTAGGGTGAGTAGAGATTTTTGGAAAGGTGTGCATATCCTTTATTCCTGTATCCTTTGCAGAAGCTGTGAAGACATTACAACAAGATTCTGAACCCCAAACTCACCAATGCCAGCAAAAAGTCAGGACTGGGTTACCACTCAGTCTCACCCACTCCATTTTGCATTTTTAGAGAAGCTAATGAAAGGAAAAATCATCCCTACATAGGCAGAATCATCCCTACATACAGAATGAAAGATTGAAGAAATATTCTGAGAACTGAATTTACATGTATCTGCATTTACTACTTATTATGAATATTCAGTATTCAGGCAAGACTAAAACTCTCTGGTAATTTCAGTTTCTCTTTCTCTCTCTCTCTCTCTCTCTTTCTCATTCACTTTATTTCTACGTATAATTAATGTTCTGACAAGTCTCAGGTGAGATTTGGATTTTGAGGCAAATTGGGACAAAGATAGACCGAGCATAAGTATTCTGCTTCCCTTCTTGGAAAATGCCAGCTACCTTGGCATTATCATTTGCTTAGCTGTGCTAAAAAGACGTGCTTGGTCAGAAGAGATTTGTTTTTACAGTTAAGTAAATTGGAGTTCACAATGGGAGTAAACGCTGAAGTCAGTCAAATTAGGGAGTGGCACCTTTATTTCTACCTTCTCATCTAATTGTTAAGCAGCCCCAAAGGACGGCTCTCTGAGAACATCAAACAAAAGACAGAATCATTCAAAATCATTATGTTCCCATGAGAAAGAGCCTTTGCAAAGGGTTTTTCCACCAACATGATGCCCTAGCAGTGTTTTCTCTACGTGTGTTGCTGATGTTTATTTGTTTGCCTTTGTAGTAAAGCTTCCATTAAATTCAAAGGGTTTTTATTCTGTGTGAGTTCTTGATGAGAGATGATGTATAGCATATAATAAAAAAAGTTTGCCTACACACACATATGCATCATTACCCAACAGCTCTTTGATTTTTACTGAAGACTGATATCTGCCAAAAAGATTTTTTATACTCATTATATTGGAAAGTTTGGGGTTTTTTGTTTGTTTTTTGCTGAATCTTTCAATACATGTTGGTATAACTTCTGGAAGGATTCACATCAAGGAGCAATCTTATGAAAGTAATGAATGTGTAAAAATCATTTGAGAAACAGTCTTTGACACTTGAATTTGAGAACTTACTACATTGAAATTGCTTTCTCATTAAGCATTTACAATATCGTTCTTTGTGATACTTTGTGTTCTTTGTGATACAGTAAAAATCTGTTTCCCTACAATGTCTACATGTTCACTGTACACACACTTATATTCATGTAAGACACATTGCAATCTTTTCACTGCCATTTTGTAAGCTAAAAAAGATCTTCAGAATACAGAATTCACACAACGAGGTAATGAGATAGCTGGGAGCCTCAAAGAATCCACACCATCAGTGCCTGAAGGCCGATGCTGAGATGCTACCATCCAACCTCTTGAGCCCCAGATATGTCCCCTCACACTGCACATCCTTCTTCTCCCTGCTCCTTTGCCTGGAAAACTTTCGCTACTCTTCCAATGTCAACTCCAGTCCTGACCTCTGATTTCCATGGGCCTGACTGGGGAGCTTGTGCTCCTTTCTCTGTACATCACACTACGCTGTGTTCACCCACTAGACTGCAAACTCTTCCACAGCAAGAACTCACCAGTGCCTAGCACACTGCCTCAGGCACAGCAGTGTCATGACAGCTATTTGAAGAATTCATGAATGGAGATGAATAAATGCCTTGAATTGCTTAAGTTGTTCAAAGCACTATCAACCTCAACTTTACAAGTGTGTGGGGGGTAGGGGAGTATAGTTGGGAATTTTGAAAAAATAAAATAAATGAGTTTTGGGTCATTATTCCTCGTAAAGCATGGGAATTGTGGAAAAAGAGTTCCCTGGCCCATGTCCCTAAAAATGATTTTTATTTTTGTATCACCAGTACTTTCAGAGCCTCTACTGCCCTGTTCTGACTTTCCACTGCTTGCCCCCTCTAGATGAGAACTGAAATTAAACCTTGTTCCACAGTTGCCCCGTGGAACACTGTCCCCACAATGTCTACTGAAATAAAACTTGCCAGTCACATTTTAGTGGGCAAAACACTACAGTAATCACCACAAAGCAGGCCCATCAATCACTCTAGCTGCATGCAGGTTAACATGCACCCAATGGTGGCCAGTATGTGCCAGGCTCTGGGAATTCCAAGATGCAAAATGCACAGGCTCTGCCTGCACAAGTACTGTTTCCAGCAGAGGAGACAGGTTTGGGAACTCACTGCCCCCTCACTTTCATTATTTTCCTCCATGCTATTTGCTTTTACTTTGGAAACTTCACATTACAAAAAGTCACCTCCTCTTCCATGCCCCCAACACCATACCAAGATTGAACCTCCTTTATTCATTAGCCATGAAGACAGATCAGCCAGATGGATCTGTATTTCCCTAGCCAACTACCCATCACTAAGCTCAATGAGCAGAATTGGCTGCATTTTACCAAGACATTGAGATTTGCTGTTTTAAGCCTTTTTCCCAGCCATATTTCTCTCTTGGAGTCCCATTCAATACACATACAAATTTCACTTTTCCAATGTCTTTCAGAATCACCACTCTGAATGGAAAACAAAAGGTGTTATCATGTTTTAAACAGCAAATAAAAAGGAAACATATAAAAATATGTAATGCAATTTTCTTAAAGATACACCATAAATGCAAGATATTATCTTACTCAAATCCTTCAGAAATACCATTTTTGGGGTTCAAAAGACTGTCAATATCTTTGCTGGAATGAAATTCAGAGTTCTGTATTGTGTCACACTTCCCATTTTCATCATTTAATTTCACTTGCTTTGAGACCATTAAGTCATTACTAATCTCTGGTTAAAATAACTTTTTCCATTTCCAACACATTCTCATCCTTTTCTTGATTGGCCTTCCTCTCCCTCTGCCATATACAAACCCTCCAGTTTGCTTTTACAGGCCTGATGGTAATATTTAGCCCCAACTGAAAAGGAAGTGAAAAAATAACTTCAGATCAAATTTAGAAGTCACCCCTTAGAAATCATGTCTTTGCTGTTGTTCGAAGAAGAGATTCTCCCAGGAGTAGATAATGGTTTGTAAAATTTGTCCAACTTTCTTAGGTGATTTCCTGGCACAACTGAGCCGCAATCCTAGTACACCTAATAAAACATTTTAAAGGATAGATTCTAAGCTGCGATTACATTGTACACCTTCTTCAATATGTCTGCCTGTCTGCCCAGTCAACCCACCTCACCTTTGCTCCTGACTTTCTCCCCCACAGGCTCCCACTGCCCTGGCTCCTGTACACCATCATTCACAGATTCAAGCCGGTAGCGGTCAGCAGCAATGGCCTCTTCTGTGCCATTGTCCTCCTCTTCATCATGCTTCTCTTCGTCATCCTGTCCATTGCCCTCTGCAAATGGAGGATGAACAAAGTGCTGGGTTTCATCATGTTTGGCCTCTACTTTGTGTTCCTTGTGGTCAGCGTCCTCCTCGAAGACAGAATTCTTATGTGTCCTGTCTCCATCTAGCAGGAAAAGCCATATCTAGAACCAAGAGCATGGATTGTCCCTTGCCACACTGGGCTCTAGGCTCCTTGACCTCTTGAGAAGAGGAAGTTGGCACAAATACCTGAGTGCCAAGGATCCCTCCTAGGAAGATTTGAGGAGGGAAGGATTTGCACTGGACCCATTCACTTCACAGGCTGCTTCAACACTTGCCTACTGAAATGACTTCATCTAATGGACAAAGACAACTGTCAATAAGGGGCTAATCTCCATTCACCACTGACAGGTACTCCTCGCTGGTCGGAGGTACATGTATTCTAATGATGCAAACAAGGACAGAGCCTATATATATACATATATACATATGAAATATACATATTATAAATATACACACATGAACACACAAATCCTGCCTGTTACTGTACTATAACTCTCCTGCCATACCTATAGATTAATACATACATGTATACAGAGAAAGAAAAATTTATTTATATATATAAAACATATATATAGGTACAAATGCATATCTTTTCAGGGATAGCTCTAGTATATTTATAGTACCTATTTGCAGAGGGGCATCTACTCTCAGTCTGGGATTTACTTCTTAAAAGATAAACTGAATCAAGTGACCGAAGTAACATTGCTATGGCCTTACTAGGATCCTGAGTAGTAAAGTGGACAGTTTGAGAAATTGTTTTCAGGGAAGAGGGTTTTGTAGAAAGAGTCCATAGGAGCTCTGAATTGAGCCTTCCAAAACATTCCCACACAGAGAAGACTTATCTTCCTAACCCTCTGGGTAAATTATCTGAAACCTACAGGGTTGGTTACTAAGGACAGACAGAGATAAAACCCAGACTTAGTCAGACATTGGTGTAGGGGGGTGGGTATGTGGGATTGGGGTTTTGTTTTATTTTGTTTTTTTCTTATATTGCCCCAGCATGCAAGTAGAAAATATGACTGCAACCAAATTAGTGCTTTTCTATAACAGCACGACTATATAACTGAACCTGTATCATTCCAATGCATGTCCCATCATCATCCAAGAAGGGGAGCAAGTTTTGCTGTGATTGTCATTTAGACACATTTTGATGCTAAGGGCTCACATGCAGATGTCTGCCAAGAGAGCCTGGATGTATGATTAAAATATATTTATATCATCCAGCAGAGGTGCTCAGTGGGACCTACCACCTAACAGGAATGTAAGGACATAGTTCCTTAAAGCATTTTCTAATGTGGTCATAAAGGGCTTAAATGTCTGAAAAAAATCATTATTACCAATAGTACTAAATTAACTCTGATCCATATTGCTTGGGTTGAGCCAGTTAGAGATGTCTAGAAAGACTTCTGCGCACTCAGTGCACCCCCAGGAAGGTTCTTGAGTCCCACTTCTACCTGTGCCAGGACCAGAATTTGATTATGGCCCATGCAACATTCACATCTCTCCTATCTTCAGGACTGCATCTGTGACCCTTTTTAGTTTTTGGAGTATTCTAAACACTATATTTAGCAGCATCTTTATACCAGCTTTAAGGCAGTCACTCCAACATCCTGATATCCTGATTTTACATGGGATAGTTTCATTTCTTTCATTCAATACCACCAAGCTCTGTTTTGCACCTTATATGATTTCTCAGACCTATGTAAGTAGAAAATAAAACCAGACCAAGAAGGAAGGGTAGGGAGTTAGAGGCAAAATAATGTGATTCTAAAAAGCAGCGAGCTTTTAATTTTACCAAGTCATGCTTTCCTTAAAATTTATTGAAAAAGTAAATCAGAAACATCCCATCCTGTGAAAAAAATTAATACATGTATGGGGAACTTCACCATGTATGTTCTGGTATCCAGTTTATTTCATCACTGGTGCTGCCATGATTTTGTTGTGAGCACATATCTTTCGACATAAGGAACCAACATGCAGAACTCACAGCAGGATGAAAAAGGAAAGATGAACCAACAGCCTCAAGTCAGCTCAGTATTTCCTCCACAAAATCTCAGCTCACTCCACAGAACATGGTGACAATAGGTAATTGCCCATCATTGCTCTTCACTCACAAGTCCAAGTAGAGGTCCTAGAAAAGCAAGAAATTCAGAGTGCTGTCATTTGGGAGGCTGCCTTTCAAAGCTCCCCAGCTTCACAAGTTGGGCCTTTCAGATGTGGGGAAGATATTGTCATCTTATTCAATAAGCAGGCAAGAATTCCCTAAAATGTAAAAGAATAAGGACATGAACTTTCAGTTTTAAAACTCTGTTTTTCCTTTATGTTATTTGAAAGGCAAAATGCTGGTTATTACATGAAATCCATATGGACAGATTGCTGTTCAAAAGTAGATGACCTTGACTCAATTGCAGAGAGAGTGCGTAGAATCAAGACAATGTGCGGGACATGCTACCCTGTAATTAGTCCAGCATTTTCCACTTCTCCCCCTGCCTCCTTACTCCTTCCCACGCGTTCTTTGCTCACACCGAAGACTGATCCCAACAATCAGGGAGTGGTTTGCTCGTCTAGGAACCACGAGCTCCACTTCAGAGTGATGTAGTCTATAATGCAGAACTGCATTGGAGAAGACAGCTCTTCTCAGTGCATTTCCATCTCATTGATGCACTGAGTCCACAACAGCAATACAGACTCTCTGAATGGCACACAGACACCTTGCATTCCTTGCCCTTGCTTTCCCTTCAGTTATCCACCTGCAAGCAACTGGTTATGTGTTGGGTGAGGGTGAAATCAAATAAAAGCATGCAGAATGCAACAGTGCATCTCTAAAAGCATTCAGATCATTCATATAATCGTAAGAAAACTTTTCAAGCGATTTTCACAATGTCATCTCTAACACCTTTCCTGCATGCCAGTGTATATACATATATAAATATAATATAATAAGTATTTATATCAGATTTGTATGTACATGTACTGTATCACTTCCATCATCACCCTCTGACCCAGTCACATCCAAAAGCAATGAGCATCAAGTTTGCCAAAGTCTAAGAAAGAAAAGTCACACACCAACCAGAGGAAACATTTCTTCATGAGCTCATGCAGTTGTTTTGTTCTGTGTACATTTATATGCAAACATATACATATGTACCATATTCATCCTACCCCAAAATATATATATATTTTTACAGCCTTAAGGAAATGGCCAGCCATATCCCTAATGCCCATGTAAAGACAAAGAATACACGACAGAAAGGAAAATTTTTAACTGAGAATAACTTTATTTGCTTCCCTAGGACAGTGCATAAAATACCAAAAATTCAAAACTCAAAACTCAACAATTCACCTCCCAATCTAAAATAAATAAGTTGCTCTAAAGGGATTCCTTTTACTGAGAGCCATCCAAGCAGATCTTGATTGTTGTCACCATTCCTGTAGCCCTAAGCAGTGACAGGATACGAGAGACACTGGGTTAAACGGAGCATTTCCAAATGTCTTTATTCCAAAATTTCATCTGAGAATGCCCACACCATGTCCAGTTGCTCTCCAAACTTGACCAGTTCCTAATGAACTGGAGCTGGAGGTTACATGATGTTTAAGCATCTGGCAGGACTTAAACTGAATCAGAACAGAAAACCAGAAAGCATGCAGGGACTAAGGGGTAAGGTTGTTTATCAACTTGGCAGATGCAGCAGGATGCCTGATAGCCTTGTCCAGAAATTAGAAAAAGAGGCAGGAACTGTTTCATATTTAAAGAAAATGCTTTGCAAGACTTCTAGCAGGTGTCACCTGACAGGGACCATTATAATTTATTTTCTAAGGAAGACGTAAATCAGGTGGCTTGGAGCCCTTTCAGCAAAACACAGCTGTGTCACTGATTAGACATTTGATCACATTCATGCATATCCATTCCTGGGCAGGGAAAAAACTGGCAAACCCCACACCGTTGCTCACAGCCTTTAAATGCTTCTAACAGGGAATAGGAGGTGAGCTATAAAGGGAAGACCCTGATTCCCAGGCCACCTTAATGGAAAGTCAACCAAGGGAATGACAACTAGTAGAGCCGCTGATTACATAGAGTTGAAGAGGATGGGACTTGTACTAAGTGCTCTGCTGAAATTATTGCCCTAGATTTTCTGACATGGGTCAGATGAGCTTTCAAAATGTAAGTTCAAATATATAGAATGTGCTTCTTCCCCTACACCTATGCACACAGATACATGCACAATACTGTGAAGGCTTCCTTGAATTGGGAAGCTTATTACTCCTAGTAACCTGCCATATTATAGGTGTTAGGTCTATTCAGGAAGAAATAACAGGACACTCTTCTCAGGGTGATTTCTGAGAAATGAATTGGCCCCTGATAAGCATTAGATAGATGTTCACGCCTGCTAAGCATCTCTTACATGAACTCCTGATTTAATATGTTTAAAAACCACCTCCACAGCCCCTAAGCCACCCTCCTCCATGACAATATTGTCAATTAGTAGATAAGGTCTTATCATTAAGAAAGAGTTAGTAGGGAAAAAATAGAAGAATAAGGAAATAAAAGCAAGGAAAAATTCATTTGCTTTTACTAGAATTCCCAACAAAGCAAGTACCCCATAGACACATTCCCCTATGTCATTTAAAGTTAGTACCATCACAAAACTTTTATAAAGCAATTACAGGAGCCCACAAAGGGTCCTAGATTGATAAAAATGAAGGAAATCCTTTCTTGAGGTGGCCTAGGGAATTAGAAGTAACCGTCCCCCTCCTTCACTATCTAAATCTAACTTCTTGCCTCTGTATCTTTGGGTTTCTTTTTTAATTTAGCAGTCGTACATGCTTTGAAATAACAGCACAAAAGAAAAGTAATAAAGGAGACACAGCCAGCTCAACTCTACTACTTATTATTACACAATCATAATTTTTTCCCTTCACTTCGAGTTTTGGAACTGCACAAGCCATGTTAAGTCATTTCCAAAGGATTTGGACATCTATAGAAATCACAGGTACCAGCATGTTTGCTATACATAGAGTTCACAGGTTTTCCACCTCAATACCCCCAAGCAGCTTGTGTGCTGCCATTTTGCATGCCTCCCCGACTTGGAAACCTGCTTTGCACAGAACTCCCCTGAACTACACACTGGTCTCTAGTCTTACTAGAGACCATCTGTTAAGAAAGAGTAAGAAAGACACAAAAGACAAATGAATTCACCAGTCTGTTTGGGAGAGACAAAAACGACCCTGCAATTATGGCAGGATAGGCAACCAAATTTA